TTACTCTTTACTTTGGAAAACGCTGTCGGCGCTTCTTGAAGCTTGTAGATTGGATTGACGTTTGATTTCTTCGTTTTCCTAGCTTTTAGAAGGCTTTGGGCCTTTCTGAAGGCTTAAGTGACTATATTTTCTTTTCTTTCAATTTCTGGCTTTTGAAAATATTTAGAAGATGATACTATTTTAATAAAATTTTTTTCTGATTTGCATAAACTTTAGCCTTTTTTTAAAGAGTGTAGATCAATTGAGTAAAAAATATTTTTTTCTATCTTTTCATTTATTTTTTTAATTTTTAAACTGATTTTTCCTGTGTGTTGAATAGCTTTATCTCTTTCTAAGGACTTTTTAGAGCTTTTTGATGGTTTTTTTTTGGATTTCAAAGGTTTTTCAAGGCCTCTCATAGCTTCTAGAGTGATCAGAACTTTTGGTTCTGGATTTTTCTAGGAAAGCGGCTTAGTTTTTTCTTGAAGGATGAACAGTGCACTTTTCAGAGTTCTTCCCGTTTAAAATATTCACTTTGCACTTTGGAGTTTCTAGGAAAAATCCGAGAGAAAAGAGGAATAAATGGGCCGAAAAATCCAACGCCATTTTTGGCACTTTTCCCGATTTGGAAGGAGTTTTTGGACATAGCTTCACTGATAAAATTGAAAAAATAAATTCCTAAAGTCCTGAAAAAGTTCTTAGTGGTCTCTTTAGGGTTTAGGCGTTTTAGTGGACATTTTTAGGAGTCGAAGGGCACTACTAGGTGCTACTACCCCTAAAAACTACTTTAGTGACCACTAAGACGCAACGTAGGGGCTTCTTCAAGGTTGTTTCAGTAGTCACTTCAGTGTTCTTTCCGAGCAGATCTTACAAAACCTTTTAAGTGGCCAAAACTACTGTAGTGACCACTAAGGCGCAGAACAATTCTTTCTATGAAGATAGTTTTAGTGGGCACTTTAGTGTTCTCTCCAAGAAGTCCCTTAACGAACCTCTTCAGTGGCCAGTTTTATTCCTTTCCCATTCGTAAAGACCCAAAAAGAGTTCACGGCCATGTTTCCTTTCTTTCACCACAAAAACATATGGTTTCTCCATCTTTTTCATCTCAATTCCGGCCACTTTGACCGACGGCGATTGGCATCGATTTCGATATTTCGAAACGTGAAAGACAAATTGAGCAACAACACGGACGCCACACTGTTTCCCACTGAATGGCCTTTTCTCACGCGTTTTTGACCCGTTTTGGGTTGTTTTGAAATGACCAGTCAGGACACGTGGGAACGTGTTCAAATTTTTCCTTTTGAGCAGTTTTTGTGTTGAAATCGAACAAGTGTACGTAAAAAAACAACTAATTTGAAATTAAACATTTGTTTTTCGGAATTAAAATTCCCCATTGAAAGAACTGTAATTCGAACTCTTTTTTAAATACAAATTTGAAAAACAGTAAAGTGGAGTTAATTTTTTTCAAAAAGCTTCATTTATCAGTGGAGCGCAAATGCCTGTTTTCACATAATTTTTTTTAATATGGCGTATCTTTTGACACATTTTTCGATTTCTTTCTTATAACTGCAGCTAATTTTCCGCGGGTATTTTTTTCACAAAAAGTCGATTTTTCTTCAATTCGAAATTGCAATTTTGTTGTCTCCTTTTCCATTGCGGTTACTCAGGCGACTATTTTTTTCTGAAATAAACCGGAGTACAATTAGACCATGAAGATTTTTTTCTTCTATTTGTCTAAATTTTAGGGACTCTAAAAAAATCTTTTTGCAAATTTTAACAAAATTATCAATGGAGCGTAGATGTGTTTCTAGAAATTTGAGCACTTTTCTTAAAAAACATTTTGTTTTATTTGTCGAAATCATGATCATGAGCCTGTGTATTCAACATTGCAGCTATTTTTTTCTCGAAAGGATATTTTCAAAATTACCAAGAAGTTTCACTTGAAATTATGAAATGCAAAAAATTATCTCTGACTACTCAGAATATCAGTTATCTTTTTCACTCTCTGACCGAATTTCGCGGAATGTGAACATTATAAAATATTCCGAGCCAATAATTCGATTTTGTAGTTTCCAATGGACCAGGGGACGGTTTTGGCTCGGTTGTTCAGCCATGTTTGCCGTCTCTGTTTCTCTGGCCCTCTCTCGGTCTCTCGCACTCTCTCTCTTCGTTCGTTTTGCATGTTGATACGGACTCGCCCACTTGTATCGTCCATCTTCTCTTGTTTGGAAATGTCTAATTGAACTATTACGTGTGTTCACCGTTCAGATAACGTACACGTTTATAGCTTCCTGTGATAAAAATCTTTATCGCAATATTTTAAAGGTTTTTGAGGGGTTTTCCGGGAGGAAAGGACGCATAGAGCTTTTTAATACTTGATAAGGTGAAAAAGCAGGTTTTCTGATCATTCAGGTTGTTTTTCTCATGAGTTTTGACATGCTTCAACTTGATAATTCTCTCTCAACCTTTCAAGTTTTTGTTTTTTCTTGATCCCTTCCAAAATCCGTTGCTTCCGCTCCCTGTGATAACAGCTTCATCACATCATTTTCGTCACTTTTTACATGGTTTTGATAATTTTTCCGGCTGGAAATGACGATTAGAACCTTCCAGTAGCTTCAGATACAGTGTAGATTCTATTTTCGAGTACTTTCGAAAACCAATTTTTGTAAGATTTTGATTTTTTGATTTTATCATTTTTTTTCTAACTTTCTTGATTTTAAGACTTGATACTGTGTCGAGGTTGCTGAGAAAATGAATTTTTTTAAAAACTTTAAAATTTTCGAAATTTACTTATTCTTTCCTAACATTTGATGCTAAATTTTAAACCCTGTCACATCTATATCTTCCTATGATGACAGCTTTATCATAGCTTTTCTGTCATTTTCAAAGGTTTTCAGGCTTTTTTTCCGGGAGGAAATGACGCCTAGAGCTTTTTAATAGTTGACAAGATTTAAAAAAAGAAGGTTTTTCTGAATCGTTCAGAATATTTTTTTCTCAACGTAAAACTTTTTAGTTTCTTCACCTTTTTCAGACTCGATTTATTTTTCTCTCAACCTTTCTAGTTTTTGCCATTTTTCTAGATCTTTTTCAAAATCTCTTGTTCCTGCTCCATGTGATAACAGCTTCATCACACTATTTCCGTCACTTTTTAATAGATTTCGATAATTTTTCCGGCAGGAAATGAAGATTAGAACCTCGCAGTAGATTCAGATAATGTGTAGTTTTTTTTTTCAAGTACTTTCGGACACCAATTTTTCTTGATATTTTATATATAACTGTTGTGATTTTTAAGATTAAATACTATGTCAAGGTTGCTGAGAAAATGAAAATTTTCAAAAATTTACTTATTCTCTCCCAACATTTGATGCTAAAATTCAACCTTTGTCACATTTATATCTTCCTCTGATGACAGCTGTATCATTACTTTTCTGTCACTTTTTAAAGGTTTTTGAGGATTTTTCCGGGAGGAACTGACGATTTATAACAGTTTATAAGGTAAAAAAAATCTTTTTCTGAAAGTTCATGATTTTTTCTCAACGGAAAATTTTGTTCTTTACCTATTTTACTTAATATTTTTCTCTCAACCTTTCAAATTTTGCTATCTCCTTTTTCGAGCCGATGTTTTTTTCTGCTCCTGCTTCAAAAAAACAGCTTTTTCACAAGTTTTTCATTCCTGAATATTTGAAGGTTTTAATCGAGAAAATTTTCTCAATTGACCTAAGTAGGACAGCTTCAGATAAGGTGTATTTTTTTGTTCCTTCTCGAAAATTTTTTTTCAATATGAATCCTTGAAGAATTAATTATATCAACCCTTAAAAAGGCCTTCTCGTTATTTCCTCCCGGAAAAAAACCCTCAAAAACCTTCAAAAGTGACGAAGTTGTGATAAAGGAGCTGTTATCACAGGAAGCTATAAATGTGACGACCAATTTTTGATTGACTTTGGAATTTATTTTTTTTTAATTTGTTTACAACTGTCCTGGTTTTTCAGAACATAGTGGAAATTTTTGTAAATTTCTACCAATTTTTTTGATAATAATTTTTCAAATCTTGTCACGTTTTTTTAGCTTCTCGTGATAACAGCTTTATCATTTTCTCGTCACTTTTTTTATATGTTTTGAGGGTGTTTTGAGTGGGAAACGAAAGATTAGGACCTTTCAATAGTCGATAAAGTGAATTTTGCGAAGATATTCCAATTATAACAGCTTTTCGCAATGTTCAGAATTAATTTTACTAATTTTTTCTTATGAGAAACGTTCAATTTTTGCCACATTTTCAACTTGATAACTATTCTCTCAACCTTTTCAAAGTTTGACATATTTTAAATCTTCTTCAAGACGGACAAATTTTGAATGAAAATTTTGAAAATTTCTGTTCCTCCGATTAAGTTTGTGTTTCTATGAAAGTTTAAAAAGTTCTAAAGGTAGTTTTTCGCTTCGGAACAGCTTCAAATGATTTTCTTATCGATGTAATTTTTTTTGGATTCAACAAAAGTTTCAGCTTTTTTTTTCTCCACAAGTTTTTCATGGTATTAATATATTTTTTTGAGCTTCAAATCTTATTTTTCTCAATCAAACTCTATCTCTATTCCTCTCGAACTCAATATTTTCTCTTTTTATAAAAAGATGCAGTTGAAAAAGTATGATTTATTTTTTTTGCATAAGGTTCTATCTGGACCTACAAGTAATTCATTTTTTTGAGATTCTCCCTTTTTTTTCCTTCTCGGGCAAAATCGGAATGGTAAATGGCTGCTAAAAGGGAGAGGCTCAAAAAAGGCAGCAAAATGAGTCCTTTTATCGAGCCTTCCATTTTTCTGGCATTTTAAAGGCAGCTAAAATGGAGCTTTTGTCACCCTAAAAGGAACATTTCTTTGGAGAAACCACCCTTTCCGACTTTGCCTATGTTTTTGAAAACAGAGAAATTCTATCGCTTTGAATCTTGGTTTTATTGGATCCTTCTGATTATTAATCCCTGAATATTTTCATTTTTTTCGATCCGCTCTTGCCACATTTTCAGACGTTATGTAATGGTGGTTGAAGACAAGTTCAATAATTAATGAATTCTGTTGCAGGAATCAGAAGAAACTGACGGAGTTCCGCCCCCGTTGACCATGGAGCCCGATGAGACGTGCGTTGCGGTTCGAACGCGGCCGCAGGTGCCGCCAAAACCGCCCATCGACACGCTCCGCTACAGCATGAACAACATCAAAGGTATGCACAGCCTCAAAAAACCGTTTTCTTTATTCTACTCAAAGTCAAAGTTTCAATAATTCAACATAAAGACTGGGGAAAGGAGTAAAAAATGTTGACAGCCTCACCGGAAAATTCGGTCGCTTTTTTAAAGTTGCTATTTTTTGAAAATTTTGAAACTTTTTAGTTCAAAATGCGTAGATTTCTCGATTAAGCTTCGAAAACCCAAAAAATCACGGCTTAAAATAGGAGACTTTTTGATTTTATCGATGCCTTTCAACCTTTTTAATTTGACATGAAATCGAAATATGTTAAGGGCGAAATAGTGTTCTTTAAGACTTGAGAGCCTTTTTGGCGAGAATAGAAAAATTCAGGAAAAGGGGAATTTTCTCAAATTTGATGACCAGAATTTTTGAAAAATGGTTTTTAAACTGGTCAGACTATGAAAAAATACGTACTTGAAAACCGTTAACATCCTAATAAAGTCATAAGAACTCTCCAAAATTTGAAAACTTGGAATAATATTCTTCATAAAAAAAAGCGATCGACCCACTTTTATAAGCATGCCTTGAGTATCTGAAAAAGGATTTTTCCATCATTTTTAACTTGAAACGCCAGGAAAAAATAGCCACCAGCGTTCAACAGCTTGTGCGCCCCAAAGATAATCAGACGGGGATTTTTAAATTCAGATTTCTGCAGCTTTTCGATGGTAGTTTGATTATAAGAGAGCTTCACAGGAGATTTTACTGAACTATTTTTTTAAGGAATTTACAAATGTTTGATGTAAAAAAGGAATTTCCCTGTGAAAGTTTAGTAACTACTTTTTTTTAAAAGCTGTAGTAGGTAGAATCTTGGAATTTTAGAGCTTTCCGTGGTCACTTTGGCTGTTTCTTTCTGTGAATTTTTTTGTATTGGAAAAGTTCGATTTTTGTTTGCTATTATTTTTTTTTTGAAACAGAAATTTTGAGAGGACAGAGAAGCTTCAAACTTGAAATTCATTTTTTTGATAAGCTTGGTGATTAAGGATAGAAGGGTAAGGACTGGAAAAACCAGGTTCTTTGAGCTCGATGAATGAAAATTATCCATGGAGCGTAAATGTTGCGGCTGTTTATCTGAAATTTATAGCAAGGCTTTTCTTTCTTTCCTCTTTTCCAGGGACGGTTGAGTCAGTATACGGCTAATTTATCAGTTTTTTTTGTTTTGACCTATGAAAAGAGGCTATATGAGAAACAGTGAACATAGGTAGTTGGTTGTACTCCAACCATTTTTTGGCTCTGAAGAAGCCGAATTTACTTAACTAAAAAGCTCGGGGTAGAACGGAGAATCCTTAACAAAATTGGCAAAAATAAAAATCGTCGAAGGGGTTCGAACCTGGAATCTAGTTTCCGTAGTGCAAGAGCGCTAGCCACTACATCACGCTGCCAAGTTGAGCTAACGAGAGAGATTCCTACTTGGTGCAATTCACTCTTCTCCCGTTTGAGCCGTCAGAGTGAAAAAAAAAAGATTTCATCGTTGTTTTCTTTCAAATTTCAATTGGCTGTACGATTTGAAAAGCGGTTAGATGAGAAACAGTAAACACAGGTAGTTAATTGTACTCGGAATGTGTGCCGATTCGAAAATTGAACGACAAGGATTGATTGCCGTCGGCGGGGCGACGTTTATCGATGTTCCTATTGTGTTTTGTCGAATGCCGCCGTTCCGATCGGGTTCGAATTAATGTGTACACCTATCATATGCAACTGGTTTCGTCGGAAAATGGTCTGTTTCTTGACTTCTTCATTGTCTTCTTCCTCAGCGCAAGTCGTAGTTTTTTAGGATTGTTGTGGTTTTTGTAACCTTTTTTGAGATTTTTGAGTGTGTCTAGGTGATCCAGGGCGTTTTTCTCCCCATTTTCTGTTTAAAGAAGTCGAAAAATCGTCTCCGGCTATTGTTTCTTGACTTCTTCTACGTCTTTTTCTCAGAACAAGTGGCAGTTTTTTAGGGTTTTTGTGGTTTTTCTAACCTTTTCTGAGGTTTTTCAGTGGGTTTAGGTTATCGAGAGCTTTTCCTTTACGTTTTCTGTCTCTAGAAGCTTATTTCCTTGATTTTCTGTTTCTAGAAACGTTCAAATTTGACCATCCATTAATTTTAGTTTTTTTTTTGGCGAATCATTTTTTCGACGATTCAATGCCAAACAGAGCGTTTATATTTTTGCACCACAGACCTTTGAAAATTGGCCGAATCGTAGAAAAAAGATGGAGAAGGGACATGATTAGGTGGCAGCTTTTTAAGCCCAGATTTTGATCAGTTTTGCTGATTTTTCATAGTTTTCGAAGTTATAAACGCTCCGACAAGCTCAAATTAACCTCGAAATGACGGCGAATCTGAATAGTTTCGAATTTAGAGCGGTAAATTAACTATAATAATTTTTTTCAAAAATTTTTTGGATAGTATTTTCAGGGGCTAGCTTACCATTAGTTAACGAAAAATCTCAAATATTTCCTTTAAGGATCATTTTTGGATTCTGGTCACTTGTCTTTGGGACGAAAATGCCGGAAATTATTTTTTTATGATCACTATAACTGTAATGAACAAAATTGGAGGCTGAAAACTCGACAAAAAATGGGATTTTTTTGAAAATAATTCTGCGAAGTTTCCTCCAACTCTCATCAAGCCATTGAAAGCTTTTGGTTGCTTAGTTTTGCCTTGTTTTCAGAAGTTCAGAAAAGCTTGAAATAACCTTGAATGGTGAAACGGAACCCTTTGGCCGAACCAATTTCAATTTGTTTCATTGGCTCTTGACAATGAGCCGATGACGGCCGTCGGAGGTCGTGATTCAATTTGGCGAAACCCGAGAAATTCGGCCTTGACGCGCCGAGTTTCATCCGGCCCATGTGAAGCCAATCTCTCATCCCAAAGTTGAGGGAGGGTGCACCGATTTGAGGGTGCCAAAACCGACGACGACGGCTGGCGACGTGACCCCGCCCCCGTCCGTGTCTTCTGGCTTGGCCAACTGCCCTGCACCTGTCTTGTCTTCTTTTCTTAGCCCGTTTTTTCGTCTTGTTTGTCCGTTTTTTGGCTCGTCGTTCTGATTGTTCTTGGTCCTCTTCCCACCACAGAAACTTTTTTTTTTGAAGAGGCTCCCGGCCGCTTTTGTCCATCCTTTGGGTTTTTGAGGGGGGATAGCCTTTTTTGGACCTTCTGGAGGAGGAAGGTGGATAAAAATGGGCTTTTTTCATCAACCTGACTTTTTCCAATTTCAAATATGAACTTCTGAAGACTAAAAAAAGAATTTTTTTCTAAATTTAGCCCTTGAAAAAAATATCAATTTTTTCCCCCTTTTTCCAGAAGAAAATTTCACATCTACTCTTTTTTTCTAGCTCAATTTTTCATGAAGATTTTGAATTTCTCGCTTTTTTTAGCCCATAATAGGTTTTTTTGAGTGATTTTTTTCATATTTTTTTGGATCTCTCAGGATGGAATTTTTGCATCTACTCTCTTTTTTTAGATCAATTTTTATGAAAATTCCGATTTTATTGCTTTTTAAAGCCCAAGAAAGGGGTTTTGAGGGATTTTTTTCATATTTTTTTGGAACTTTAAAGATAAATACTTTCATCCATTCTCTTTTTTCTAGTTCATTTTTCACAAAGATTCCGAATTTATTGCTTTTTTTAAAGCCCTCATAAACATTTTTCACGCCGTCTACTTTTTATGGGGACAGTTCATGCTTATCTTCTTTAAAGGTTTCGATTTTTCTTTTTCATTTGTCTATTCTTTTTTCCACCTGACGGCTGAAAAAAAAAATTTAGATAGATGACTTTGATGTTTCAGCAAAGGGTTTTATTTATTTCTATCTTTTTCAGCGTTATGTGCTCTTAAGTCATGATTTCAGAAAAAAATCTCTTTTTTTGTGAACTTTTTTTATCTTATCGAAAAAAATCGATGATACTTTGAAGGCGCTCGAGAATCGAGCTGATAATTTATCATTTTGACCTTTTTGAGCAGCTTTTTTGGTGATTTTTTTCTGCGGTTTTTACTGAGATGATTCAAGATTTAAAGCCTTTTTGAACTATTTTCCTCGTATTTCATATTTTTTTTAGGTCAAAAACTGAAAAAAAAATTTTTTTCATTTTTTTCATTTTCATTCCCAAAATTTGATTATTTCATGAAAATTAGATTTATTTGGGAATTTTCGCAATTTTGAAAGTGTTACGGTAGTCGTTCATCGACTAAAAATGATGAATTTAAAACAATTTTGAGCGTTTTACTTCCAATCCATCTTTAAAACTTCTTCATTTTTTTCCAAGAAAAAAATTGGCAAAATTAAATTTCACCATAAAAGGGATCGAACCTGCATCGTAGGCTCCATAGTGCAAGGCGTCTAGCCACTACACCACGCAGCCTGCTGACAGGTGGAGTTAGTCGCCGCAACAGATTCCCTCCTTCCATCTAATGCAATTTTGAGTGCAAACTTTGAGGCGTCATAACTCGACTAGAACCAAAAAAAGCGCTTTTTTTAAATTTCTCTGGTTTCAGGGTTTTCGAAAATACCTATATACCAAGTCTCATCAAATTCCAATAACTCGACCTTTCGCACTTCAATTTCTACTTTTCTGAAGTTTGAATTGATTTTTTTCCACTAAAGTTCCATTCACCTCAGTTCCCACACGATAGTTATCTCATCAAATTGATCTCAAAAGTCTCCGCGTCCATTAATTATACGCTCGAATTAGCCGTATAATTACTCCCCATGAACCTGGCAACTCGCCGACTTTTTGCTCTCCTCGTGCCGAAATCAATCGATAACTCTCCCTTATCGCGTGTATTTTTTTGGGTTGTCCTAATCGAGCCGGTCCTTCGCCCCGTCGTATTTGAACATCTACTGGAAATATGCTTTCCTCCTACAACGCTTATAAGCGTCGGCAACGTGAGTTTTTGAGAGGGAAACTGGTTTTTTAGGGTTAAAAAACAATTTTAAGAGTAATTGGTGATTTTTTGGTTGAAAGGGCGGTTGGATAGTGTGATTTTCAACTAGGGAACGTTTTTCAATCCCCCCCCCCCTGGTTGAATTTGAGGGGGGGGGGCGGGGACTTTGCTAAAGTGAACCCTAGGACCTCCTGATTCCACAACAAGAAGAAAATTTCTAGCAATAAATCTGATTTTCTCGCTTAGACCTTTCAGAAGCTTGAAAAAGCGCCTTTTGTAGTAATTAGCTTATTTTCCGAACTTTAAAGCTTCATAAACCAAAAAAAAAATTTTTTTCAGATTTCAAGGTCCCAAATTTCATCAAAAGTTGGACAAGAGGCTAAAAAAGTTCCCTAGTTCAAAAAAAGGGTCGAAAAGTTGATCCAAAAACTGCAAAGTATGTTTATGGGCAGGTCCTGGGGTTATTGCGTCATCCGGAGCATCGTATATCATTTCTGGAGTGGCCTTGGTAGTGGTTGTTGGTTGTGAAAGTTGATCTGAGGGGTAGGGATCACTTGAGCGTCTTATTTGCGGAGAAGTTGAATGGAAACCGAGGTTTTGGCTTACAAATTCTTGATAAAATTTTATTTGCAACCTGGAAAGTTACTTGCAAACTTCAATAAACATCATAAAAACACAGGGAAATGATCAGTTTTAATTTTTAAATCATTTTTTTAAAGTATCCATCAGTCAACATCGAGAGAAAAGCCAATGTACAATAAAAAAATAGAAAAAAATTGTGTTTCCTGATTCAAGTTTATTTTATAAAGAAAAAAAATCGTCATTAGATAGCATTCTCAGCTTTTTCCAAAATTAAAAAAATTTTTAAGAAAATTTTTTTCTTGGAATATTGTTTCGAATAGAGTTGAGTTGGTTTTTTTTCGCTCCTTTTGAGGTTTTCTGAATGATATTTTCTTTCTTTTCCTAGAGTTTCAAGCTTAAAACACCGTTCAAGATGCAGTAAATGCAGTTTTTTTCAACCATTGACCGAATGAAGAAATGTGTTGTTTTTTTTTTCCTGGAGCGTTTAAAGGAGCATAAAAAGTTTCTATGAAAGCCCTGAGAAGTTAATTTTTTAAATTTTTATGAGATTAGGCAGGACTTTAACGTCTTGTCAGTGATTTCTGAACAGAAGAACCCAGTTTCATTTTTTTTTTTCCAGAATCAGCGGAATGGCAGCTGGACGAGCTACTGGAAGAGCTTGAGGCCCTGGAAACCCAGCTGAACACCTCCAACGGCGGTGATCAACTCCTGCTCGGGATGTCGTCCGCCTTGCCGACCTCCTCCTCGGCCCATGATCAACTCCTGCGCGCCAAGGACTCGGCTGTCAGCAAGCCGGTTGCCCATCATCATCATCACCAGGTGAGGATTCGATGAGTGACATCTCAGTTTCGGAATATGACCCGGTCTCGACGAGTAATTGGAAAGGGAAGGAGCCGGGGCCGCGGTCCGAACAATGGCCCAGAGTAAACAACCGAAGCAAGAAGCAGATTGCATATTAGCATATATACAGACCGAGTGTGGAGCTCTTTGCCCAACCCCGATTGGTTCCAAGAGGACTCGACAGGTCAAAGACACATATGTCCCTTGGAGTTGCTCTTTTGAGGGTTGTCCAACTTGGGTTTTGAGAGGTTTTCGACCATAAAATGGTTTCTGGGTCTTGTGATTCGCCAAAAAGTTGATCTTGGAAGGTTTTGGACCGTGTATGGGGGAACTCCTCAAGTAGCTCTTTCAGGAGCTTCCAAATTTGGGGTTTTGGAGTATTTTTGGACCAAAAATTAGAGTTTTTGGGGCTCTATTCGATTTTCTTAAAGATTTTGAAGACAAAAATTGATCTTGAAAGATTTTGGATCGTATATGAGATAACCTCTCGAGTAGAACTTTGAGTAAACTTTCTTTTGAGAGTATTCCGACCACATATTAGAGTTCTTGGGGTTCTATTCGACTTTATTAAAGATTTTGAAGACAAAAATTGATCTTGGAAGGTTTTGGACCGTGCGTGGGAGATCGCCTCGAGTAGAACTTCGAGTAAACTTTAGTTTTGAGATGGTTTTGATCACAAGTTAGAGTTTTCAGGGTTTCATTCAAGATTATTAGCGCTTTTAAAGACGAAATTTGATCTTGGAAGACTCCAGATCGTTTTGTGAAAATTCCACTGGAAGAGCTCCTTCAAGGATTATCAAATTTGGATTTTGGACCACAAATTAGAGTTCTTAGGGTTTCATTTAAGATTATTAGTGCTTTTGAAGACGAAATTTCATCTTGGAAGACTTCAGATGGTTTTTGAGAATCCTACTAGAAAGCTCTTTCTGGGTTTGTTGAGTTGTCAAACTTGGGTGTCGAGAGGTTTTGGATCATAATTTGGAGTTCTGCGGTTTTACTGTTTTATTAACGCTTTTACAGACCAAGTTTGTTCTTGGAAAATTTCGAATCGTGTCTGGTCCACTTCTGAAGTCTTTTTACAGATTCCTATGTTTTTTCCGGAGATCTGAACTTTTTTTCCTTTCAAAGTTCATCCAACAAAACAGCTATTTCTAAATCAAAAAGTCTTATTTTAGCGTTTTTATAGAGATCATTTATTGATTTTTGGACGTTTAGAATCAATCAATAAGTTTTTTTAAAAAGTAGATTGGACCTGTTAAATACACAAAAATAGTTTCTTGACTTTGGGTCTTTCCAAAAATTTATATCTAAAATATCCTATTTTGGAGCTTTTAGCCGAATTTTGAAGTTTTTTCTTACCTTCTGAGCTTTTTTTGAGACAGAAAACAATAATTTCATAGTTTTTGTAGCTGGACCGTTTTTTTTTGCATCCTTCAATAATTGGGAATATTTTTAATAACTAATTTTCTCAGACTCCCACAATTTTTGTCGAAGATCATGCAATTGGAAACGATGAACAGAGCTTATTTATCACACAAAAATGAGAAATCAAAGACTTTAGTAGTTGTAAAGAAACCTCGTAAGAGGACTATGACTATTTTAGCTCAAAAAGGGCCTATTTGACTCATTTTTTTGATTTTGCAGCAGCCAGCGACGTCGACGTGTTCATCCCCAGATGGGGACAGCGCTTTTGGCGATTCTTCTTCAACCGAATCGGCCAGGTTATTCATAAACTCCCAATTTTAAAATGGATACGAAACAATTTTCGACCATGTTCTCGCAATTTAGGTTTGACTTGAATCCGGAATCATTTTACGGAATGTTTTTCCGAGTTTTCCCCCTATTCTCGATGCTTTAATGAAGATTAAAGGCTGTATCGAGATCCTAACGCGTTTTTTTAAATAATACTGACTGGAAAATATATCAGTTTACTGTAATTGATTACTTATTGAATTTATTTTTTTCAAAAAAATGATCCATTCAAATTATATCAATCGTATTTTTTTCGAAAAACTGATATTTTTCCTATTATTAATTTTTTTTTTCAAAAAGTGATCCTTTCCAGCTTTTTCAATCAATTACTTAAAAAAGAGCCCTTTCCAGCTTTTTTAACGTTTATTTTCAACAACCTCATCTTTTCTACTTTTTCTGTAGTCTGTTCAGATTTTGAATTTCAATTCCTCGCTCAAGCTCCGCCCCTAATGGCCCGATAAACCAATCAGAGAGCGAGCCATCCACAGAGCGTTTTTCGAATGACGTCATTCTACTTGACATTCAAAATCTGAACAGACTATATCATTCTATTTTTTTTAAAAAAAGGTCCATTTTAGATTTTCCCATCATTTATTTTTTTAAATCTCAACCTTTCCAGCTTTTTCCCTTGATAATATCTTCATAGAAAAATCCATGTCAAACTATTTTACCTGTTGATTTTTTCCCAGCTTCAATCATTCATATCTCAAAAACTGATCGATTGCAGATGCCGCGACTCCTCGGCCTTCTCGTCCAACGAATCCTGCCGAGACTCACTGAACACACCGAGCCCGACGCAGGTACATCCATTTGGATAATATTGTTGGCCCTCGGGATTAGGTCGGCGGACAACAGAGTAGAAATCGTAATCCTCCGAGGACAGCAGACGCGTCGCGCGAAAAACCCTTTCTCTCTTGGTTTCTGCTGTGTAATAATTGACCAGTCTTTTTGATGTTTGGAACGCCGCCAACAACCGTGTAAACTATACTTGTCGAGTGGGGGCATCTGGCGGGGTCTGTTTAGAGGGAGGGCGCGCCTTTTTGAGAGGGTGAGGTCAGATTGGCACCGGAAGAATGGCACATCTCAAGTTACTATTGTTAGGGGGATACGAGGAAGTTTATGCAACCTTATTGGTCTGTTCGAAAGTTCTAGAAGTGCAGAAGTCATTATTCAACAGAGAAGTTTAAAAATCAGTGAAAATCTCGGAGAATTTTGGTAAAGTTTTGAACCTTGAAATAATCAAAATAATAAAGAATCATTGAGTTACGAACTAAGAGTTCTTGGAATGATTAAAAGAACAATTTTAATTCGAATCGATTTTTCTTGACTTTGAAAAAAATGTTTTTTTGATGGAAATTTCAAGATCTAGTAAAGTTTTTTGAATTTGAATTTTTGTTTCCAAAGATTTTTTTACTGTTATCTACGTGTTTCAATAAGAAGTTGTTAATCATTTTTTTTTCACATCGCAAAAACTGTCAAACAACTTAGAATAAATACGGCATGTTTTATATTTCCAGTGAAGCGTATCAAAATGAGGAGAAAATTGCTTTCAGAAATTTTTTACATTGAAGAGAATCTGAAAAAAACGCTTCATGGAGCTATGATTTTCTTTTTTTTTTCAAATTTGGAACGATCAAATTGAACTTTTGAATTTTCCTTATAGGGTTATTAAAATAAAAAAACGAGATACAAAGCGAAAAATAACCCCCCGCCCCGCGCAAATTTTTATGCGACAGCCGTTCAACCTCGAACAATACCTTTACCTTCACCTTTTACCTAGGCGAGTTTTGTTTCGGGCTCGGGAGAATACAATAGACGATTATTCAAACGCGGGTTGCGCAACGGGGCCACACGGTAATTGACGCAAATGTCGCTCCCATGGCCAGATGCTCACCGTTCGGGTGACGTCATATAGAAGAGAGCGACTTCTGAATCAGAAGACGATGACGTGGACCTGATGACGTGGAGACTTTTTTCAGACGTCGCCCAGGAATGGGGAACTCAGCGCCGACGAGCTCAAGGCCCAACGCATTCGGCTGGCTCTCGAGAAGATGAAGGAGGCCAAGGTAATTTTCTTGGGGTTTTTTTGAGATTTTTGGGGGGAAACTCTTGGGGCCACTTAAGAGGTTTCTCGAGGACTACTTAGAAAAAACACTAGAGTGACTGCTTACCCATAAAGAAGCCGCTTTTCGTGTCTGAGTGGCCACTCTAGTAGTTTGCAGTGGTCTTAGACTTCTAAAGTGACCACTACGTTTTAGACACTCAAGTGGCCACTAAAACGACCTCTATAAAAGCCACTATTTTGCGTCTTAATGGCCACTTTATTAGTTTGAAGTGGTCTAGTAGTACTTCTCAAACTCCTAAAGTGACCACTAAAACAACCTCTATAGAAGCCGCTGGCCCTTGTGCCTTAGTGGCCACTGTAGTAGTGCCTCAAGAACTGCTGGCGAAGAGCACTAGAAAGACCGCTTAAAACACCTCTAAAGGAGCTACTAAAACCACCTCTATAAAAGCCACTATTTTGCATCTTAGTGGCCACTATAGTAATTTTATTGATGTAATAGTACCACTTAGACTTCTAAAGAGGTCCCTAAACTTAAGCCACTCAAGGGGCCAATACGAGAACACTAAAGTGGCCCCTAAAACCGCCTTTATAGAAGCCACTGCTTTGCGTCTTAGTGGCCACTATAGTAGCTTTGGCCACTTAAGAGGTTTCTCGAGAATCACTTGGAAAGAGCACTAGAGTGACCAATTAAACGAACCCTTAAGAAGCCACTATTTTGTGTCTTAGTGGCCACTATAGCAGTTTCAGTGATCAAGTAATACCACATAGATTTCTCAAGAGGCCACTAAGTTTAAGCCACTTAAGTGGCCACTCATATATTTTCTCAAGTTTTGAGAGCTTCTGGAATTTTAAAAAGTTTCAAAATGTTCTTGAAAATCAATTTTTTGCTCTAAAATCGCTTCAAAATACTGAAATTAGATAATTTTTTTTTATTTTTGGAGCACTTTTTTCTAATGTAACTTTCTTCCGACTTTTTTTTCCAAAGGAAAGCTAATAATCAATCTAATGGACTTGATTAAGGTGGCCCGGATATTGGTGAAGTTTTTCGGAGAAGGCGGCGTCCCGCTGCAATTACTCATCGACGAGCGATGGACTGTGGCCGAGGTTCGTTTTTTCCCCGAGCAAAACGTTATCGGATGGAAATCGACGACGATTCATCTCCTCTTGCAGACTCTCAGACAACTCGCCGATAAGAACCACATGACGCTCATGGAGGACCATTGCATCGTCGAGGAGTTCCCCGACTTGCACATTCGTTCGTTTTTCTCTTGATTTATGGTGATAAGAGGGGGGAGAAGCTTTGAAGAGAAGTTGGACAGTTTCATTTTTTGAGAATCTCAGAGAATCTTGGACATGAAATTGAAGAAAAATCAGACAGGAGATTGAAAAATTAGGCAGTTTCATAGGAAAAGTTAGGAAATCGCGCTGCTCTGACTATTAGGAAAGTTGGATAGAAAATTCAAGATTAGAAATTTTTCAGAAGAGTCCCAGAAGTTCTACAAAAAAATCTGAAAATATTGCTCAAGGGGGGCGGGAACAAAAATTGGACAGTTTCAAATGTTGAGAAGCTCAGAAAATCTACATAGACAAGTTCGACGTAAAATTGAACAAAATTTCAAGTTGGAGAGAAAATTTAGTTTTTTCTTAAAGTTTTTTTCTGATAATACCAGAATCCCGTTTTTTTAAGTTAAATTTATTATTTTTTTGTAGACTTAGAGATGTACAATATTAGTTTTTATTCGCACTCTTTGATAATATGATAATTTTGAAACAGCAAACTCAAGAAAAGTTTCAACAACTTTTGAATTTTGTCCGTGAAAATCAATAAACTTGGCCTTTCTGCAAGTTTCTTGCAATAATTAGGGAATTTTCTGAAGTCAGGAAATTTCAGAACGAGTTTACGAAGACCATGAGAACGTCGTGGAGAACATCAGCATGTGGGTGCAAGATTCGCCCAACAAATTGCATTTCATCCGCCGGCCCGACAAATATTCCTTCATTTGTCAGTTTTTCCTTGATTTTCAATAACGCTTTTTCCTGTTACAGACCGACCCGAAATGTATTTGGTCACCGAGAAGACGTCCCACATCGAGGTTCCCTCGGGAACGGTTTGGAAACAAGACGTCAAGCAGAAGTTTGTCAGGGTGAGGAAGTTTTTTTGATTTTTGTCGAGAAATGACTTTACTGTTTCTTGTTAAATATATATAAGAAAGCTTAGAAAGGTCATGGCGGAAAATATAGCAAAGGCAAATAAAAATATGTATGCTCATATTTCTAGGAAAATTTTTTTAGTGGCCACTTTAGGGTTTCGTCGGTTTAGTGGCCACTATAGTAGTCGATTTAGTAGCCATTTGAGGGGCTAAAATTTTGAGACCTCTTTAGAAATATAAGGGATACTACTAAAAACTGCTATAGTGGCCACTAAGACGCAAAAGAGTATAGAGGCGGTTTTAGTGGCCACTTTAGTGTTCTCTCAAAATAATCCTTCAGGAACCTCTTAAGTGGCCACTTTTTCCAAGTTTTTTGAAGGAAGTATAGTTTTAATAAAACTCTCTCAAGCTCCGCCCCCAAATCAGAGAGCCTTTTTGAATGACGTCATTTTACTTGAAATTCAAAGTTTGACCAGACTATACCTCACTTTGCTTTTTCAAGAAAAGAACAAATTTTTGTGGAAGGTCAATTGATCGGTACTTCTACGTTGTGCTACAAGAAATTTTTCTCAAAGTTTTCCTGTACCTTTATAAATTCCAACCTTTCCAGGAATTCTTCACCAACGAAACGGTGGTACCGCCCTGAACTGGAAGGCTTCCTTTACCTCAAATCCGACGGAAGAAAAAGCTGGAAAAAGCATTTTTTCATCCTGAGACCCAGTGGATTGTACTACTCACCTAAGGGGAAGAAGTGAGATTTTTCAGATTTTTCGGATAAAAATCAATAATTCCAAGGGCCTCGAAGGACCTGACCTGCCTGATGAGCATGCACTCGAGCCAAATCTACACCGGAATCAATTGGGAGAAAAAGTACAAGTCGCCGACTCCTTGGTGTATTTCTATCAAGGTTCTAGGATTTTCGAGAAAAAGAAAATGAATATTTTTTAGTTGACGAAGCTGCAAATCAAGAACTCGCAGTACATCAAGTACATCTGTGCGGACGATGAGCTGACTTTTCAGGAAATGGGTCGCCGCTTTGAGGATAGCCAAGGTGAGGAGAATTCAGAAAATGGCAGAATGGTCCCTAGAGGGGATTGGGAAAACAGCCTTTCTTAGGAACAAAACAGTAAGCTCTATGGGTGTAATTTAAGTGATCCCTAAAGAGATGTAGTGTCCGACCCCTCACCCGCTTAACCTCAAGAAGTCCCTATAGGGGTCTTTTGCTCTCAGCTCAAAATGGGACTTCTGGATGAGATTAGGTTTCAACTAGATGTAGTTTTTTTCACGCTGATTCCAAATCCGGCTTCAAAAAGTTGCCCAATACGACTGTGAAAAAGTTATGGAAAAAAATTGAGATTGAGCACATTTTTTTGTAGGCATATAGATCTTGTCCCTCTTGTCACGAAAAATAAGTTTCTTTTTCAAGAAAATTTTAAGGTCGAGATATGATTTTTGTTTAGATGAGACTTGACAATTGGATAATAAGACTTTTTTTAAAAATAGTTTAACTTTGGTGAAAAATTTTTTTGAATGAAGGGCGAAATCCCCTTTTTTAAAGGTTTATTAATTTTTCACACTCTAATTTTCATTATGAAAAAAACCTGATTTGATATAGATTTTTTTATAAAAAAATTAATCCGAGCACAATGAGAAATTAAATAAATCGCTTCTTTTTATGGGGAGTTTGAAGCTGGAAAAAGTCCTTAACTTTTTCAGTTCATTTTTCACATCAACTTTTTCACTCTTCTTACTGTTATAATGCACTGAACTGTATTTTTTCTAAACTACGTGTCAATGAAATCATGGAGACTTCCATCGATCGATAAAGTAACTCAGGTGAAACAGAAAACTTGGTAGAAAGCATAAATTTTTGATTTTTGGATAGTTGAAAGCTGCTTTGAGGTCTTCAGAGTAGGATTCTGAATGTTTTATTAAATTTTTTTAGCAAAGAAAAGTAGATTTTAAAAACCTCACAGGGGAGATCATTTTCACTTTGCAGGTTGGGATTTTCCCTGAAAATTGACCAGTAAACTTCTTGACCCTATCAGATGAGGAGCCTGAAAATCCAAAAAAATTTGAATTTTTTTCAGAAAATAGGCTAAAATTTCAACGAAAAAGCTCGAAATCCGCTAAAACCCGGCCATTTTTGAGGCTTTGAACCCTTATTTCTGGAAAAACTAGGAAGTTTTGCAGGTTTAGACTTTCAGATATCTTCATCTGGTACATCAAGAAGTTTCCTGGTTCAGAAAAAAATCCCGACCATAAATCAAAAATGACCTCTTTGTCCAGAAACTTTCGACCAGTTCTAGAGAAAAACAAAATTTCAAAAAAATAGAAGTTTTCTCCAATTTAAAAATGAAAAA